CTTTTTATTTTTTAAAGAGTAGATTCAATAATTTACCTCTTATCTATATCCTCTTTTTCCTTTTCCTTTTCCTTTCTTTCTTTTTTTTTTTTAATTTGGGTAGGGGGAGTAAAAGCTGAAAGATCAGAGAAGCAGAACAGCCAGCCACTAACTTACCTCTACAAAATCCTCAGCCTCAAGAGACAGGTTCCTGTTTCCTCGCGCCTTTCTGTGTCCTGCCATATTACTTCCTGGGATTAAAGGTGTGTGTCACCACTGCCTGGTTCTGTTTCTCTCATGTAGACCAGTATGGCCTTGAACTCACGGAGATCCAGACAGATCTGTGCCTTCTGAGTGATAGGATTAAAGGTGTGTGTCACCACTGCCTGACCTCTATGTCTAATTTAGTGGCTGGCTCTGTCCTCTGATCCCCAGGTAAGCTTTATTGGGGTACACAATATATTACCACTGAAGGTAGGCCTTCAGTATAGCTCAGTGGAAGAATATTTGTCAGTCATGTATGAGACCCTGGGTTTAATTCAACTGCCATAAAAATAAAAAAAAATAAGGAAAGGAATCTGCTTACTAGCTAGATTTTATAATGCTAAATGGCATTTTGCATATAAAATAAATAATAAGAAAATAAAATGATAGTAACATCTCTCACAGTTGAAAAATATATTAGATTTTATTAAAATCTTTTACATCATTTTCAAAAACTACCATATTATCACAAATGCCATCTACTTGGGTATTCAAACATGCTGCAGTTCATGGTTCTGGCAATTTAATAATCTACTAATATTTCACTTAAAATTGTACAATAGCCAGTGTTCTGCTCTGAGAAATGTTTCTGTCTGTATAAGCTTGCAACCTAAAAATGAAAACAGAATCAAAAAATTTATTCTACATGTATATTTCATAATGTGTTTTATTTGTTGTCATCTTGACCACCTCCACATAATTCGTTTATTAATTCTGTAAAATATTTTGACAACTATTTTGTTTTGATTTTTAGGTACTAAGAGTAATCAGCAAACAACTGACATGACTTCCCCTCCCAAGATGCTTTTTATGTATTTGAGGAGATGAATGGTGAACATGAATAATTCTGTTTCTGAGATCATCTGCCTTTATTTTTACATAATAATGATAAGATTTCATAACGCTCCTATTCAAAGAGACAGGAGCTCACAGTTTTCAGGCCCTTCATGTGGACTATGATGCTTGGATCTTGTCATCCTTTGTGTGGAGTCACATCTTCCTGGCCTTCTTGCACAGGAAGTAGATTAACGCCAGAGCACAGAGCAGGGATGCAGTGCAGAGTGTGAAGTATTTACAGTGAGGACAGTTGTGGGGAAGTCTGTGGGAGGACCAGTCTTGAATTTTCAAAGAGTCCTTAGGTGGAGGAGAGAGGAATGAGGAAATATCAGATAGAAAGATAGACATAGAAGAAAGACAGAGGCAGGGGATAGCTTCAGGAGTGCCCTGGGTCAATATCCAGCCCCCTTTGTTTATCCAAAAGGGCTTTTTAAACAATGCTAAGGGGAGAGGCGAAAGACTTTCCCTTTGCAAGATCTAAGCACAATGTACAGCCAAGTGTAGTTCAAACACCTGGCAACCACACCTGTGACCAAATCATCCCATTATGCAGCCCTGCTGGGTAAAGCAAGCTCAGATTCTCTGACCCTGAGTAAGGCCTCACTAGAGAACTTCTGTGGACCCCCACAATAGTCACATGTAAAAAGCTGTTATGCCCTTCATTTTGGTCTTTCAAGTCAAATTGCTCTCATACTCACTCAGCAGAGCAGTATTTTCTATGTTCACAACCATAAAAATAAAATCAAAACTAGCAAAATTTGTGTATGGCGGATGTGTGTGGTCTATACATACTTGTGTGTGATCATCTACATGCCCCACAAAGCAAAGACCGGAAGAGGATATCAGGTGTCTTCATCTATCACTCTGTTCTATTTCCTTGAGCTAGGATCTCTCACTGAGCCTGGAGCAGAAATGGTGGCCAGCAAGCTTCAGTAATCCTCCCTTCTCCACTTCCCGTCCACCCAGCACTGGTATTACAGACACACATGATCATGCCATGCCTTTTATCAGCTCTGTGGATTTAAACTTAGATCCCCACAGTTGTCCAGGTGCTCTTATCAGCTAAGTCGTCTTCCCTGCCTCCCCTTTAATATATCTACTTTATATGTGCTCCTGGATTGTTGATGTATAGTGAAGTTATTCTTTATAATTCCATGACCAATGTCAAGCAAACAGCACCACAGTGTGCTAGTAGGTGAACTCAATCTTGTCTTTCTACAAACAGTACATTCCCATAACTGCTCAAATGAACTCTTGTTCATATAGTCTATGTTCCTCCTATAAACCAATGGACATCACAGTTGACTTTGGATTGAAGCTGCATTCTTGTTTACTGTCATGAAAGTAGGTACATATGCTGTTTCAACATTTGTGATCACTTTTGTTTAATTTCCCCATTATTTGTGTTAAACAATTTTAGTTTTCTGTTAATAAAATGCTAGCTTCAATACGTAGATTATTCAGTTTTCTTGGTCACCCAGGAAAACTAATACTCCTTCAACAGCTAGTTACTATGTGTACATGAGTACACACATTTAAACAAAGTTACACATAGTAACTAGCTGTTGAAGGAGTATTAGTTATACACAGGTGCACACATGTCTCATAGGAAAATTATTGTTCTATCATCTCAAATGTGCGTCTCTTGTAGATAATCAAAATTCAAAGCACCTTTCATGCCTTTCAGGCTTTTCAGCCCTTTATCAATGTTTGTCACAAATATTCTTCATGTTTAGAGCTTTTATAAAGTTACTGGTTTGGGTCCATTCAGCTTTAAAATAATTTTTTAAAATAATCTGCAATTCACAGCATCAAGATTTAAACTTTTCCTGTGGTTTCAACCTGTAGGAACACAGTAGTTAAACTTGCTTATACAAATGAACCAAGAAATAGAATAAAGTATCTAGTGACACACTCACTTATACACTCCACACAATTTCAAGGAAAACACCAAACAATTTGAAAACAAAATTTTATTCAATAAATCATACTGGAAAAACTAAATCACAATAAGGAAAAATGAACTTCAACTCAAATTCCAAACCAAACAAAATGTTAATTTGAGTTGGTCACAAACCTAAATACAAAAGAGTAATAATAATTCTAGACAAGTGAGAAAACATCCTTATACAACTTTATAACAACTTCTAATAGGCAAAGATTTCTAAGCCAAACTTGTGGCAATCCTCCTGCCTCTGCCTCCCAAGAGCCATGGTTACAGGTGTGTACTACTATGCCTGCCTTGTATAATAATAATATATTATGTTCTTCTCACTTTAGCATCTTGACCAGCATTTTGTTGATGGAATTTATCCACAGTGCTACACGCACAGGTGCTTCCTTCCTTTCCAATTCTCTCCAGGGCTGTCCTCTCCAGGACTGTTATCAGGAAGGTATGTTGGATTTCGTCAAAACCCTTTTCTATATCTATTGGGAGGATTTTATAGTTGTCTTTATGTCCATCGATATGATTTATTACATTATCGACTTATATATATTGAATTATCCATGCATCTCCAGAATATACCCAACTTGGTTGTGGTAGATGGTCTTTTTGATATATCAAACCTTGTTGTAAGTATTATAGCATCTATATTCATCATGGATATTGACCTGTAATTTTCTTTGGTTTTTTTTATGTGTCTTTATCTGGTTTTGTATTAGAATACTGGCTTTGTAGAAAAAGTTTGAAAGTGTTACTGTGTTTCTTTTTCTTAACAATTTAAGAAGTATTGGTTATAAGGTATAGTGAGAACAGCAATAGCTACAGAGAGTAAGTAGATGGAGGGAGGGAAGAGCCAAGAGATGGGCATGTGGGCTTTGAAATGTATAGTAATTACTGTGAGTAGGACCGGGACTCTGGAGGCTAAGGACCCTGGTATGCTGATAGGGCCCACGAGTATGTGTGAACAAGGGAGCCCTATGTCCTCCTGGCCAGAAGTAAGGGCAGTAACACCTTTTGTCAGAAAGGAACCCACTTCACAAGTTTCTGGAAAAATGCTGGTTTTTACCAAACAGCCAGAAATCCTCCTACAGTCCAGGTTGAGTTCATATTTGGACATTTGGACTTCCCTTTGAAGTTTGGGGGATCGATGTGTCTTTTTGGTCTGACACTTTTAATTCACAAAGATGCTTTGAATATGTAACACATACATGCAGTTAAGGGTTAGATATGGAGCATTTTAACAGTGGCATGTAAAACAACACCGTATTCTGAAAGTCATGACCAGCAACTAACATACATACATTATACATGCATGTAGCTAAACGGGGGAGATTACTGGGGGAAAAAATGAAAGTGCATCACATAAATGCCAAAAAAGCATTGTGACTAATGGAGACTCCTATTTCTATAATGGAACTAAGGATATGAAAATAGATAATAGTAGTGCTCTCATCCTTAGAGACTATCTTGTTTTTTTTTTCACTAGTGCATTTACGTGCAAAAAGCTGTATTTATATGGGTTTATATTAAGTGTGGTTACACACATATAGATACACACACACATACACATACATACACACACACACACACACACACACACACACACACACACACACTGAAAAAAGGGAGGTATATATTTTTGTCTGTCACTTTGCAATCTAAATAGTCCTAATACACAGGTAAATCCATAACCTAATAAGGTGACTTTTCACAGTTATAGCGTGTTACAAATGCAGACGCTGCCTGTATAAACGTCTGTAAGGTGATCATCATCTTGTCTTAGTATCAAAGTGAAATGTTACAGGATCACGGGGCAGACGAATTCATCTTAATGCACCTTTGAACCTTGCAAAATGTGTCCTGTTGGCTAAATTACATCAGCTCACTGAGCTCTTTCCTTTAAAGTGACAGCGATCTGTGCGCAGCTGTCCCCACAAATTACATAACTCCCGGCAACAGACCTTCCTCAGGAAGCGGACAGGAAGGGGCGGAGCCCACGCAGCCCCCGCGCCGCGAGGGAGGCAGCGGCAGCGGCAGCCGGAGGCCGCTGGCAGGGCAAGGGGGAGCGGGTGGCCACGTCGTCCCGGCACGGCCCGACCTGGCTCGGGAGTGCGCGGAGCTGCGGAGAGCCTGGGCCGGGTGGGACAACGCCATGGTCCCCGCCGACGTCCCGTCCGCCTTGGCGCTCAGCGCTGTGGGCCCCGCGGCCGCCACCCCGTACGGTGTCTTCTGCAAGGGGCTCTCCCGGACCCTGCTGGCCTTCTTCGAGCTGGCCTGGCAGCTGCGCATGAACTTCCCGTACTTCTACATCGCGGGCTCGGTGATCCTCAACATCCGCCTGCAGGTACACATTTAGGGCCGCGCCTGCCGGGCCGGGCCTCCTCGGGCACCCGCAAGATGGCCGCCCCGCGCGCGGCGCCGCCGAGACGCGCGAGAGGAGCGCGCAGACTCGCGGGAGCGCGCCCCGGCCGCCCCTTCCCGGGATCTGGAGGTGGGGGAAGCTTGCAGAGTCTGTTAGGAGCCGAGACGTTCCAGGAGCGGAGAAGCTGGGACCCGAGGAAGTATCCGAGGAATACACGTCCGCCAACCCCTGGGGAACCTTAGCATCTGACGGAGGGCACAGGCTGCGTTATGAGACAGGAACACTAAGTTTCTCCAGAACACAGATTTACAACAAACTTGGGTTCTGAATTGATCTTTGGGAATTCTGGACTGTGAGCTTAGTCCTTGAGTCAGAGGCCTGTTCCTTGCCAGGAATGTGATCTCAAAAGGATGTATCTCTTCCTCCCACAAGAGGATACATTGGAGCTGGGGGTCAAAGCCGGACTACACGAAAGCTTGTTCCCAGTGCAAACACAACAGCGGGATTTTGAACAAATGGTGGCAGAGTGTGGGGATATCCCTGTCAGAGAGACAGTTGGAGCCAAAGAAAAGGAAGTTCAGTCGTGGCAGAAAAATGGACTGTGCTCTCATAGTCATGCAAATGGACCAAATATGGCTTTTTCCTGGGAGTACTTAATTCTGGTTACAGAGTAAAATGCAGATGTTACAAACCTTGTGAAAATACAGTTGACAAGTGGGAAGACAAGAAACTAAATGGAATGGCGGAGCCCTTGTGGAGGGGGGCGGTACTCTTGAGAGTGACTAGGACATTTTGTGGATTATGGACAGCCATAAAGTTTCTAACTGCTAAACAGACGGGGGTAACCACATGAAGTACACAGGAAATGTCCAAAGATGAAGTGTTCTGAATGTCCAAAAAAGAGCAAATACCTGGTGTGTGTGAATGTATGCTAGAGATTTATCCAAGTCTGGGGTGAGTTAGTACTTATATTTTATTTTAAAATTAAAACTGAAGTCATTATAAACCCCATGAGAAATAAAATATAGTCATAAATTATGCTGCCCTACCTCGTGTGACTGATACTGTACCTGTAAGATAAGTACTTGCTTAACAAGAAATGATTATGTAACACTGGGGGACTTGAAGAGGAAAAGGATGTAATATAATGATGGAAAGTTCACCAAGAACTATTACAGAGGGCTGGAGATTTGGTTCAGTTGGAGAATATTGCCTACCATGCACAAGGCTCTATGTTTGATCCCCAACACTACAAAAAAGATCTAATATATAAAAAGCAGCATAAACTACAATTAGGAAAACCAATGCAGAAACACGTAAGAGTTAAAAGAGTTATTTCTGAAGAAAACAAATGAAAATAGGAAGAGGAAAAGCAGGAGTTCGTTCTTTTTTGTTACCAATCTAACATTATTGTGTGATTCATTTTTAACCATGTATGTGATTTTCTTCAATTAAAATCTAATTTAAAGCCGGGCGGTGGTGGCGCACGCCTTTAATCCTAGCACTCGGGAGGCAGAGCCAGGCGGATCTCTGTGAGTTCGAGGCCAGCCTGGGCTACCAAGTGAGCTCCAGGAAAGGCGCAAAGCTACGCAGAGAAACCCTGTCTCGAAAAACCAAAAAAAAAAAAAAAAAAAATCTAATTTAAAATATTTCATTTTAAAAATTTCCCCAGGTAATATCTCCCACAGGTTAAATGACACAGAAAGCTCATGGGATTGAAATTGTAAATCATACAGGACAGTTAGTGCTTGATACTATTAATATAGAAGTATTCTGCCTACTCAAGCTTGGAAATAATTTCATTTCTACTTGTGATTTTCCTTACATATAAATGTAATTGTATTCTTTCAAAACTCATGTAAGATGAATATATACTGTTACAGGCTCGACGTGCAAGTGTAACTGTCTGAGTTATTTCCTCACTATGAGCACATGTAAAGATGGTGCATGCTGTTTTAAAACCCCTCTGCTGGATTTGTCAGCAGATTGCCAGTTTCCAGGCTTTTCTAGGGAAATCTCATGGTGCTCAAAGATAACTGAAAGGATCCAGTGAGAGCCAGTCATAATAGTGCACATCCGTTATCCCAGAGGTTATCAGGTTGAGTTGAGACATCATGTGTTCAAGGACAGCCTGGGCCACGTGATGAAAAATCTGCCCCAAAAAAACAAAAGCAGAAGAATCCAGTGATGAACAAAGCTTTAGAAGAAAATTCAATATCTCCTCATTACTGTAATTCTAGAAAAGCTTGTGAACCTAAAAGCTTCACTTTTGTTATTGTATTTTGTTGTTTTTTTTTTTTTTCTTTTTTTAATTTTTCTTTGGTTTTGTGTTGTTTTTGTTTAACAAGATTGCTCAGGAATTTGCTGTGTAGCCTAGGCTAGCTGAGAACTCATGATCCCCTGACATGTGCCAACAGGCTTTACTCTTGCCTAGTGACATTTTAAATGTCACAGGAGTCCCAAGGCTATATGCCAAAGATTTCTGTTGCTAAAGTTTTAATCTAAATGAGTGCTTGAGGGGAAAATAGTCAATGTTTAATTGATAAAGAAATGTACCTGATGTTTTAAAGTATCAGAAAAATTCAACTATAATAGGACAGATAAGTGTGACCACAGAGCGAAAGAGCTGGGGACATAGTTTAGTCAGTAAAGTACGTTCTGTAAAAGCTTGAAGACCTAAGTTTGATCCCCAGAAGCTTCATAAGTAAGCCAGGCTTGGTAGTGTGCCTGCAGTCACAGTGCCAAGGAGAGGCATAAGTGGGTCCTTGGGGCTCTCTAGCCAGCCAGGCTAGCCTACTTGGCAAGTTCCAGGACATTGAACGTCACTGTCTTTAACAATAAGGTGAACAGTGCCTGAAGAATTATACTCAGTATTGAACCTTTAGCTGCCTCCTAGATCTTCCTACTTGATATCCTCCTTTTATTTATTTTTTTAGATCCACTGAGTCCAATTCATGTTACCTATATATTCAAGGATGTTGGGTCATTCATCCACATTCCTAAAGAAAAGTGACAATAGCTATCTGCCTATAGCTCCTCAGCTGGGGATTGGGCCTTAGGATTCCCTCTTTATTCCATGATGGAATCTTTGAACTGGCCTGATCTTGTGCTGGTCTAATGTAATTAATTGTAGTTCAAGTGTGCAATCACCATGTGATATCTAAAAGTTTGCACTCTTTCTCATCCTACCTTTTACATTCTTTCCTTCTCCATGTTGATTTTTTAAACCTATCTGACAAGTTGAGGTGGAGAATAACAGTGATATTCTTCTTTTTATTCATTTTTGTCTTATTATCACTAATTCGGTGTAAAAATAGATTGTATTATTTTATGATTCTAATATAATCAGCTTCTGTCTTGACTCTATGCTATAATTAATTTGAGAACTTTAGAAAAAATATTAGGCATGGCATTACATACTTGTAATTCTAGTTAGTACTCAAGAGGCTGAGTCAAGAAGATTTTGAGTTTGAGCCTAGCTGAAATTATGTAGTGAATATTGGGCTACCCTGAGCGACATGATAAGAACCCATCTCAATATGCATTTCCTGTGAGCTTCCTCAAAACATTTTTATTTCATTAGTGTGGAGTACACTGACAAAATTCTGAGAGTTTATTGATGTATGCCTCACAAAACCTGTCAGGCCTACATGCAAAGGAATTCTAGTCCCAGGATTTGGAAAGAGCAAGACAATCCTAGATTTCATGGTATGGAAATCAAGAGACCTAGAAGTTACTAATACTTTAGAAATACTCTGAAGGCCACCAGAAAAAGAGTCATCATTTTTAGGCATGGTTTAAAAGAGACCAAAACATGAGACTTAATGTTTTTTAAAAAATAAGAAAATAAGTCCAGTGATACTCACTGAAGAACATTTATGTTCATAGTTACATTAAAGATGTACTCTATGAAGAAAACATTGAGAATTATAAAATCATATCTATCATACTATTGAGAAATAAAAATCCAGCTGAATATTACATTTTTTAAAAATCTATGTAACTATAGATATTATTTATAATCCTGTGATGAACTACCTTTTATATTTCCTTTAAAATATCAAACGGTTGAGCTTTGTACGATGGAGAAATTGTTACTGTATATCTAAGTATAATGTGTATTATTATAAAATGTTTGTAAAGGTAACTTGATTAAATTAATCTTTATGCTAGAGTTACAATCAAAATAATTAGTCTAAGCATCTAATGATAGCTATAGTTAAAATCAGAAAACTTGGCTGGAGAGATGGCTCAGCTGTTAAGAGCACTTGCTACTCTTACAGAGGACTCAGGTTCTGATCTAATATCACATAGTGGTTTACAACAATCTGTAACCCCAGTTGCAGTGGATCTGGTACCCTCTTCTAGCCTCCAGAGGAACCAAGAATAAACATGTTGCACATACATGCAGGCAAATTAAAAATCAGAAAACAGATGATAATTGATTTCATGATGTACTGGGCTAAAACACAAATAGCACTTCTCACCAAGGAATAGATATAAAGTACTTGTGGAAATCCACTCTGACCTAATTAATACAAAACATAATGGGAAGTTAAAAAAAAATGTAACAAATACTTTATCTCTGAATGATCTTATCACCTTTTCTCACACATCTCAGTATTCCATTTGAATTACACAGCCTTTTAAGTCACTCCTCTCTCTCTCTCTCTCTCTCTCTCTCTCTCTCTCTCTCTCTCTCTCTCTCTCTCTCT